TCTCAGTCACAAAACTGTTGTTCAGCCAAGTGTAAGAGAATCCAAGACAGTCTTGGATTCTGGATTCCACGCCGTGGAATTTGTATTCCAGGTACTGGATTCTAGTCTTTGTCAGTGGAACCTGGATTCTGGATTCCAATCGTTAGTGGGATTTCGGATTCCGTAAGCTGTATTCCGGAATCCAAAGACCAGGATTCAGGAGTTCACAAACAAAAATTTCTCAGATTCCAGATTCACTTGTTGCACTAGTCAGAAAATCCCCTATAAAGTTACTAAGTGCTCAGGGTCAATTTTCACTATTCTAGAAGACCCAGGAAAAGAGGACGAGGGAGCAGCTTGGAAGACAAGAGAATCTGGACCCAAAGGAGCAAAAAGAGGAATCGCGCAGGACGAACCTGGGACATCAGGGGTGAACTACGTTCGTTGGGGAAGAACCACATGTCCTAGTGGCGCTCAGATGGTTTATAAAGGTGAAGGAGTGAGCAAAAGTTCACAACAACTTACTTATTAAAGACGTTGCCATAACAATATTATATTTTTTCTTTTAACGAAACAAGCGAGCGAACTTTGTTTTCCATGCTTTGATTGAACAATATACATCTGTCTGGATTTGAAAAATGTAGCGCCAGAATTATTAATACTTTACCATTTTTTTATATAATATTTTCAGTGCAAAAATCCTCTAATGACAAGCTGCAGTAGACATAAAATCATGTGTTTATGATTTTCTAAATTTGTTAAAGAGATTGAGAGGCCTAATTTCTGTGCTTTTCAAATGTTGTCAATTCCATTGCTAAAATCTGTCACTTCTTTTGCAATTAAGAGGAACTTACAGTTAAGTTACCGTCTTTAGCACTAACTAGCGACTTTTATCTGTTTAATTAAAATCTCCTGTAGTCCCTTAACACCTAACGACGACCTGATACCCAGGCTAAGGTCAAATTGTTAAAAAATTAACGCACTATTTTTTAATATAAATTTCTGAATGTACTGTTCTGCAAATCCAGACATTACATTAACTGTGTATTACACAAATCCAACTTATTATGACTTTCAAACTCCCGAAATAATGCCACTAGGGACCTTGAAATGATTGGCTATCTTTAGTTCGCGAGATCTTACAAATCGTTCTTTCAGCGAGTCATATAATTGGCTTGTTTGCTATGTTTGCAAGTCTAGTAATTTCTTCATTTTGTCTTGAAACGCACACGTAGGTGAATTTGACTTCAATTTTGCCTATGAAAAAAAGAAACTTGGTAAAGCATTTGGTTATGTCATAACAGAAGACGTGAATACGGTCTGTCACGGATTTAGAGTTGCTCCTCTGTGATGAGTCAGAATTAATATTTATGAGGTCTAAGAAATGGCTGTACATTTTATTTCGTTAGTTTTCGATAATTTACTTTTTGTACTTTTAGGTCAAATGGGTGGAGCACATTACAGTCACCAGGGTGGTGGGGTGAACTACCTTTGCCTTCCAGAAGATCCCAAGTATGACAAGTACACAGGTAGCAGTTACGGGGTAACATACCTTTACGGCACTGAATATGAGGTATTAAGTACCCACCTTTTTGGTAAAAGGCTCCGAGATTATGATGCGCCATGCGTTGTCTGCTTCGTCAAGTCACGTGGTTCAATGCTGATGATGCCTGCTAAGAATAACTGTCCTTCTGGATGGACCGAGGAGTATCATGGGTACCTGATGACTGCATTTCAGAACTACAAGCATTCAAGTGACTTCGTCTGTGTTGACGGGGATCCAGAGTATGTGGCTGGTAGCCAAAGTAACAGGGATGGTGCCTTGCTTTACCCAGTGCAGGTCGCTTGTGGCAGTTCATCGCTCCCGTGTCCACCTTATATCAGCGGTCGAGAACTGACATGCGCTGTGTGCACCAAGTGACGGGGAAACGTAGCAGCTATCGATGAACTGATTTAACTGTCATAATCCGCGTTTAAGTGTGTAAGCAAAACCTAAAAAGATTCTGAAAAAAGCCCAATTGTAACTTAACATGATCCATAAGTAAAACTGCAATAAAAATAAAGTGGAATTTGTGGTTTTTTTTTAAAAAAACCTATGGGTAAAAAAAGCACATTTGTAACCTACCATGAGCTGAATAAAGTGGGATCATATATTCCTTAAAAAAGCTCTTAATCCTTTTGTTGTTAGAGTTACAGAGAAGGGTTTCAAACGCGTTCACCGTACCCTTATACGCAGCAAGTCAGAAACTATCTAACCACTGATAGATTTTTTGAGAAAACAATCAGCCACTTTAGTCTACAGTCTAGGGGCGTCCTCCATTTTCGTTTACTTTGATTGCCCTCGTGAGCTGATTAGTATTTATTCCTCCCGCAAAATCAATTTTTACAATAACTGAGCGAATCCTTGCGCGCTGATTGGTCGAGAGCTATGGTCTATGAGAGTATAGACCATGGAAATGACGTACATGTCACATGGTGCTGGTTGTTTTGTTTTTGGTTTTTCGTAAAAAAATAAATGTTATTGTAAAAAACAAATTGATCACAATTTTCTATGGTCTACACTCTTATAGACCATAGAAATGACGCTATAAAATGTTGTAAACTTTGCAGTGAAACCACTCGACTGCGGCTGGTGGTTCCACTTGAGTTTTGGTCTATAAGAGTGTAGACCATGGGAAATTGTGGTCGATTTGTTTTTTACAATAACGACTTATTTCTCGCGTGCTGATTGGCTAATTAGGGACTTTAAGATCCAACGACGCGGACGACAACGAGAAGGTCAAAAAACAATTGGTTTGATTAGCAAAACAACAACTTCGCACGTGCATCACACTTTTTTGTACATTTTTTTCCCATTTTTGCACGACTACGACGTGAAAATGCCTAATATCGCGTATTATGGAGGACGTAAACAACCAACGACGAAATTTTATTTATCTTTCTGAGCTTCAATTTGGTCCCTTGAAATTCAGCTTCAGGGGGGTTCGCCTACAATTGACAAAGTAAGTGGGTAGGAATAATCGCTATAAAGACTGAAAGAACGCAAATTCACTTTTAAGCGACGTTCTTGTCGCCGTCGCCTCGTTGGATCTTAAAGTCCCTATTGTTATGATCAATAAGAAGACAGACATGCAGCGGACAGACACATAAACTTTAATTTGTACAAGACGCGGTCATTTGCAGAACGCCGTATGCCAAACTTCGATGTTTTTCTTTAGTTTAGAAGATTCAATTTCTGTCTCGGCTAAGAAAAATAGCCAGATTGCTCTGACGCAAGTCTTGCATCCTGTTTGGATTCTCTACAAATAGCTCAAGCAGAGGAAACTGAACAAAAACGCGTAGTTTCCAAAAGCGGAGACCACTTGTTAGAAATTGGGACTGTAATACTATAGGGACCAATGGATTTGTTATTGTCCATTTGAGATATGTATGAATCAACTTCAACTGAAGTAACAAGGAAGAGAAACATTGAGTCAGGAAAATTGCCCTTCAGAAAAGAGGTTGGACAACAGTTCCCACACGGAATGTTTTTGTCAGTGTTTTTACCCACATTAACAAAGAAATTATTAAAAATGTTGGCAATAGCACAGGGATTGTCAACAGTTTTTCCACTCTCTAGAATACTGGGAATGTAATCAGCTTTAGCTTTACTAATGTTGATGATTGATCTAATTCCAGACCAGATTTTTTTCATATTATTCATATCATTCGGTCAAGAGTTGACATGCGCGGTGTACACCAAGTAATGGGTGAATGCCTAGTAAATGCCTTTTACAGAGGCTTCCAATGAGCTACGTGAACAAAAGAAAAAGGATTTCATTAGTAAACTTACAATACCCTATAAAAATAAACAACAACAGTGCGACAAAAAAATAAGAAGCTTCGATATCTGGCGCACAAGTAAAGCAAAGAGTTCGCTGTCAATTAATACGGGAGAAATAACAATAAAGAAATAATATATATTGATGGACAATTTATTTCTTTTCTTTGAATTCCGACCATTTTACTCTTAAATCCTTTTGAGACACCTTTTGGTGTTGGACTTCATTATGTTGAAAAAGAGGGCTTCATAATACAGTCTTTCAAGAGCCATAATAGGACATTGTCCTATTATGGCTCTTGCTCTCGTGCAACGATATATAAGCTATACATTGGTAATACCGATAGAAACCAGCAACCACTGCTATGCAGCCAAAGTGTTTTACGCCGTCATGGACCGTCGATCCACAACTCTGATGGTCTGCCTAGCTGCGCAGCGCAAATCATCAGAGTGCGCGGGGATAAGCATTCCTTGCTTGTACAAGCCGGTCACGCGATTAATTAGTTAGAAAACAAACAATCGAGTTGCCACTGAGTTAAAGTGGCACCTTTGCGACCCTTACACTGCCGGACGAAAAAACAGCTGGCAAAATTGCAGAAAAGGCATGATTTTATCACTTAACACTCAACCCTGTGTCCTATATTAAGAATAACGGTGCTCACTCAATTTTCAACGTGCTCTAGTAACGGTGCAAAACCGAATTATGCTGCCTTTATTTTTTCTAGGTTAGTAACTGAGCTGATACTGTCACCCGTATGCCCTCCTGCCCTGATTTTGATTTCAACCACTTCTCACTACCAACCGTATCCTTTGATTTTTACTGGCGAGAATCTCCTAGCTAATTGAATACCTTTATATCTTCCGTTGCAGAATTAAATCTGTTTCTTTTTTGCCATTAAGAGGAATTAGTTGGAGCAAATTTACACCTTGTAAGAAGAAACTAAATCCGGTTGATTAGTGTTGACATTTCTAGGCTTGTTAATTAGTTAATAACAGGGTGTTTATCCACCTGTTATGCCGGGTCACAGGTTACTCCAGGAAGTTTGAATCATCTCACCGTTTTTCCCGACAGTAAAATTGTGATTTGTTTCAACACTGGGTGACAATAGACAATGAAATCATCAGCTAATCCGCGTCTCAGCGAAAAACGGCCTACGTTTCGGAAAAGAAACACAAGAGGTTTTAAAGACTGTTATGAGCAATGGCTGTAAACGTTTTAAAAGCACTTCTCATCCTATTCTGTTTTGCTGGTGACATAAGTTTTCTTCGAGCTGGTCCTTTGGGTAAGAGACACTTAAAAGGTAAGAGTTTTTTCACGCTGGCTACACCCCCGCTATTTTAAAATGTATAGCGCTTTTTGGAATCATTAAGTTTGCTCTTTACGAAAGAATAAGAGTTAAAAAGGCAAACCAGCCACGGCCAACATCGTTCTCCCCCTTGCGAATTAATGGCAACGAATCGGATGTCCAGTAAGCTGTGCTTTTAGTGTTAGATGAAGTGTCGTCTTTACTACATTGATAATAAATATATAATCATGAAAAATGTTCATAGAGAAAGGGCAGTAGACAGAGCGAACGCAAAGTTTAAGACAAGTTACTTGCCTAAAAACTGGTTGTTGTTTTTTGTGTCATGTGGTCTATTTGTTCTATTGAACAACTGACTGGTAAAACGGTTTTTGAAGACTTTTAGGTGTTGAATATGTAAATTCTGTGTCTTAACAAACAACAGTCGTTTTGTTGATTATACGTACTACTTCTTAGTCATGGTTCCTCTGTTTAAAGCACACACAATGTTGATCACACCTTTCATGTATGCGCATCTTTAGTTGATTCAGCTACGCCCTGTTTCATTCTTGATTGTAAGCTCGTCCTATTATTGCCGCGGTCATTGGGTGACAGACGGCTGATTAACTCCACCTTAACTGCAAACATCACTTAAAAAAAACCGTCTCACCTTAGAGAGAGCCCCACTTAAAACATGTGACGCGGTAGCTTTTACACAGCCTGCGTCGGAAAGGGATCCCAGGCGGGCGAGAAGGCTGTTCGTAAGTATATAGTAAAGTTGAGGCGCGCGTCAAGAGCGTAGGAGCGCTTGCTGCTTAGGCTTAGCAAGTTCGTTGGTGTTATCGGCTTCCGTTCGCAAGAGAACAATTGTGAACGGATATTCCCCAAACCTTCAGTCAGAGTAAACCTGACTTTGTACTAGTTTACGGTGTTACAAAGACTCACGTGGACTATGGACTAAAAGAGCCTTCCACCATGTAGTCGATAAAACATGTCCTAATCATAGATCGTATATTGTTAGAGAATCTTTATGTTTTTTTGATGGATCCTAGTCTGCTCTTAATCTATCTTCATTTCTTTCTTTACATGATAAAAACTTTTATTTTTCCCAGGTCACATTCGCGTTCGAAGAGGTTTCCGTTCATACTTCTACAATTACTTGGATGAAATTGCTATGGCAACGTGCGCAGCAATTCCCAGCAATGGACCAGGTCTTATATACGCCATCAGAAGGTAACTATGGTAACAAACTAACCCTTATATAGATCGTGTATCCATGATGTCACGGTGGCCATATTGCTGTATAAAAAATGCAACGGCAACCGTGTTGGTGAACAGAAAAAAATCCTGTAGGGATTTAACTCTTTCATATGTAAAAAAATTCTTTTTTGCAAGAAATTTGCATAGCTGCAGACCATGTGAGCACACAAAAACAATCTATAAGCCCTAAATCACTCATTTAGCTCCCTAAATCTCCTTTTTTTTTAAATCAGCCCAAGAAAGATCAATGGGACAGAGACATAAACACCCAGTCGCGCCCTGGAGATATGTGAATTTCACCGAAGTTATTTTTAGACCAATTAAACGCTTGAAATTAATTGGAAATTGGTTTCAGGAGAGGTCCGCAAACCTCTACTTTGTTTTGTCAAGAGCGAAAAGAATAATGGGGCATTATGTTGTCTTGGTGTCAGTGTCGCCAGTACAATTTACTGTATTGTTTGCTTTGTTGAAATCGCGTGTGGACTTAAGAGTTTCAAACAACTGATTAAAATGTTCGGACGACTCGGAAATTAGACTGCCCTTTAATTACTAGACTGCAAAACAGTCCGTATTTTTGCGTATTCAAGTACGCGCGAGCAGTCAAACAAAAGGTCTGGAACGGGACTGAAAACAGAGAGCGAGACTGGGGAGAGATGCTGAAAATATTTTTCCTCTCGCCTCACACGCTTCGCGTGCGTAAGACTCTTACGCCACACTTTACCGATTTCTTTACTGATTTTGAGAAAAAAACCGACTGTTTTGCAGTCTATTTAATTACAACGTCTAAAAATAACTTAAATGAATTTACATATCCCGGCCAACACACTAAGATTCACTTTCTGTCCAATTTTTCTCTCTTGATCATTCTTACTTTCGATCTATTTCAGGACCTGCGGTGAAAAGGCAAACTGTAAAGACATTTGCACTGATCCTAAATTACGTCAGCAGGGGCCAAAGGAAGTACGAAAACTCACATGGGATTGCACGGAGTCTATTCACGTGTATAAAAGACAGCCGTCGCTGGCTGACAACTACGATGAATATGCTGATTCTCATAAGTTAGGCCTGGCTGTGTTTCGCCATCACTCGTGTGCTATATCCAAATGTGGACCAAACTATTGTTGCTGCAGAGCAGTTGCTTTGTAAATTTCTTGCTGTTTCCCTTAAAATCATCCTCTGGAGTTGCTCCCATTAAAACGTGTTAATCAAATGTAGGGTCATGTAAGCAGCACTGAATGTCTACCTGCTCAACATTGAGCGCAACCTGAATCCAGAACATGGCGATTACTACACTTCGCCCTTTTATCTACAGGTATCATCAGACTAAATGTAACTACTTCTCGTTTGGTCTGTGCTGTACCGCACTGTTTAATTGTAGTCGGGTGGTGTTGTGCGCATGTCGCACCGTGTGGCTACAGGCCTAGTGATTTCATAAATTGCGTGCGGTGGTCACATATTTGTTATGGCATTGAAAGTCTGTGCTTTAAGACCGTCCACTGAGTGAAATTCGTGTGGGTGTACGGTCTCCATAAAAGGGGTCAAATAAAGCCTGAGCCATACCCAGACTGGTCCCCTTTAGGCATTTTATTCTAATTTTTAGACTAGCATCTTTTTGGGAGTCCCCCCCCCCCCGGACGTATACTATCACCTGAAGAACATGAATAATAGGTATTAGGTAATAGGTTATAATAATCCAGCAGATACGCATTAGGGAAACCCGAATTGCTATTGCAGATGTAGTAACCTACTGGAATTTGTAGTCACTTATTGTAATGAATTACCAGTAAAAGGAAACGAAAAATTGTATAAGCTTTGTTTTTGGTGAACCATAGGATACATTGTGGCCACAATTTAAGTAAAAGGATTAACATATAATGCAAGCCAACCCTAATCAGTGAAATTTTTCCTCCACAGTTTAGTGTGGAAGTGTAGCCTTGAACTCATTACAGTGAATTATAATACGGGTGGGGTTGTGCAGGGGAAATGTGTATGGTCTCATGGTGCTACGGTTCCGTCCAACCACCCGGTCAGCATCTCAAATTTATAGGAAATAAAGCAATGGAAGAAATTTTAGTCAATGAGAAATGTGCTGACGTCTTGGAATAACTAATCAGGGATAGCTTAGCTATTGAATATTCAACATCATTAAGTTACCTCTACTTTTTATGAAACACCATCTACAATAATTATTCAAAGTTTGTTTGAATTAAAAGTGTCGTTAAAAAAGCACAAAATTAAGCGGCTAAAGTTCAACATGCTAAATTTATAATAACGTGCTGTCATAACGTTACCCTGCGTTCACAAATCAGTGAGCGCGCTTATCACTTACTTAACAAGCCAACCAAAAAACATCCAGAGAGTGCTTCACTAAACTGACAATTTAACCTCAAAATATATACAGAACGCGGGAACAAATAACGTCACAAGTAAACCACGAACAGAGAGCACAAGAGCCACTAGTTCAAACCACAAAATTGTGCCAGTCACACTCCCTAAAGCTCCGTTCGCACTTAGCGGCTGGCCATCTGGCCCTTATTCGAGCTGAATGTGAACGTTACTATTTTTCTTAGATCGATTTAACTGATAGATCAAACCTGGATCGCTTGAGGTGGTGGTCTGAGATAGATACCACAAAACACATAAATCCAGAGAGAGTGCAAAGCATTTAAATGTTGTTAATATAAGAATCCAAACTCAACAGAGAAAGAGAGAGAGTGAGTGAGATAGCACAGCCTAACAAAACCATTAAACCTGGAAGCTCAGAAGTAGCTATCTTTTCTCTCATAACGGAGTTGGTCATCGTATGACAGCAACAATGCCATCTTATATCCACAAAGCGCGAGTGGAATAATTGTTTTATTAAAAACGCAGCACAAAATATCGAGAACTCTTCGCCTTTATTTGTAAAAACAACCGATTTTCAGCTTGTTTTAAAGTTTGAGCAGTCGCGTACAGTTACCATATTTGGAGAGCATGGTATAATTAACAATTATTCCTCGAGCCCGAATGAGCTCTCAGAGTCAATAGCCCATGAGGCCGAAGGCGAAATGAGGGCGAGAGGATTGCACGAGCAGAGTTGCCTATGGTTTTTTTGACGTTATCCTTGACACTGATCAAAAAGATTCGCGGCCTCAGGGGACAAGAATGGGAAACTCCCTAGAAAAGAGAGCCATCAAAGTGCATGGTCACACTTGAGAATGACCGCTGGCCAATATTAAGACATCAACTGAAACGGAGATACGACTTTTCATCTCATTACTTTAAAAAAGGCAATAATTCAACCTACGGCCTACTTTCTTCAGAAGTATATTTTTTTATGTAGAGTTTTCAAACAAGAGGGATATATTTTAATTCATGTAAAAATTCGTACTCTACTGGAAAATTACCGACTCTAAAATAATAAAGCACAGACCCTTCATATAGGATCAACAATGGATTCTAGGCGACAAATTTTCTGGAGAAAGTATTCGTCACAAATTAATATAATGACATTCAAATAAATTCGAAAAATAAACCGGCAAGAGAACAAATGAATATAACGTTTAACCGGTTATCCAGTAAGTGCCATGTTGGTGTTTAAATTCAACATTTCTATTTTATCTTTTATTATTTCCATGGTCATATCTCTGACTCATTCTACTGCCTTTGTTCGACATTGTACGATTTTCTTCCATTCCGAGTATTATTGAAAATTAAAAGTCAAAGCTCTTAGCAAACAGTTTATACAAATAAAGAGCTGCCTTTGTGAAAAGAATAATTACATGTGAATGAAAAATTCTTTGACCTGGCTTACTGAGGCTTGAATGCAAATTTGACTTCTTGTAAACATTTTTTTCGTAACATTGAAGTTTAAGGCAGAAAAAGATCTTGAAAACTTTACACGATGCTTGGACTTGCTTAAAATTCACTTACGTAGAAAAGATGTCAATTGTGAAGGAAAACAATAATCAGCAGGAACCGGCGCCAAGCAAACACTTCGTCAAGCCATTGCGTCTTGCTCAAAACAGCCTTCATGTTCCAAGCCATGTTTTGCTGCCTCGTGGCTCTCTTTTTGCTCACCCTTACCCGGAATCTGTTCACCCGTTTGAAACCCATGAAGACCAGAGTATAAGCGAACTAACTGCTAAAACGATCGCTAGAGGAAACCATTTGATATTTGATACAAATATCTCTCAGAGAAGAGGAGAAGTAAGCAAACATGGGCGACACAATGTACACAGATCTTGCCATGCTTGTGATGAAAGAAACATTGGAGATTTTGCTGTCAAGAGTATTCCGGTTTTACCATTTAAAGTTGCGGTTTTTTGTCTAATTTTAAACACCATTACACCAGGAGCAGGTAAGTTTATAAGGTTTTCATGATACCATATCCTCTACTAAACATATGATACCCGACTAGAAGTTATTCAAATGAGGCGGCGACTAAAACATATACCCCCACAAAAAGGTTTCCTCAGTACTTTTCATTGAATACCAGGGACGAGACGCACAGAAAAAAAAATGCCTTGTCTTCGTTCAAGTGATAATTCTAATAAAAGGAATGAGTTCCTCTTCGTCATCGGTCACTTCTATCCGCCTCGCTATATGGTGGCTCTTAAACCATATCTCGTCTAATTAATAAATTACATTTTGGCATCGCGGCATTCTTTTACTTTTTCACTCAAACTCGTGTACTTTGTTAAGCATTATAGTCATTATTAAGGCAAATGAACGACATTCAGACAAAGGTTGATACGTACTGTGCGAACGCAGACTAGTGCGAACGAATGACCATTATTTTGCATGGATAATAACTCAGAAAAGCCAGTATATTTTCTACTAACTTTTTATACAACAACCAGACGGGCCATCCGAATACAGGTCGACCGAAATCAAAACTAATTATATTGAAAAGTATACTTACAAAACATCTACACTCCATCATCTATGACAATAACAAACCTTCTACAAACTTGCTGTAGCAAAAAGCATGTTACACTACCACATAAAATGTTCAAAACATAATGCGATACAAAAACAGTCGTTGTACTATTGACAGTTACTACTACCACAAAATAAAAACCAAGATTTTGTTTCGAATCTCACTACTAAAACAGATTCACTGAAACTTTCGCCATTTACATTCATGGTCGGCCACTTTCCTATTTTATCAGTCATTGGCTAGTTTTGCTCCGGTGAACAAAAATTAAAGGGAGAAGTTGAAAAATAAAAGTTTTACTTGTATAGTCTCAACTGAGAAAACTTAAAAACAATTCATAATTCAGTTTTCAGTCGAGGAATCGAATGAAAAATAGGATCCAGTTTAATTGCATCACAAAAGCACTGGTCTAGTTCCTAACTCGGTCAGTTAAGCCCTAAATAGGCAAACAAAAAAACGTCTAACTTTGAGGAGACGAACTAAACTTTCTGAGTTAAGTTCAAGAAAAGTTGGACGTTTAGCACTAGCCTAAGTGCGGCGAGCAGCGATTGCTTTACAGGGCATCATACACAGAGGCGGATCCAGGATTTTTTTTAGGAGGGGTTGCACTCGTCTCTTGCTCTACTTCAACACCAATAAACCACATTTTTTCGCAGAATACCAGTTGTATTAGGCCCCGTCCACACGTATCCGGAGATTGTTGTATCCGCAAATTTTTTTATGCGGATACAAAAATATCTGCGTCCACACGTAGCGTATACGAATCGTATACGACCGTCCACACGTATCCGATTCGTATCCGGACATCTCAAAGGATTAGTCAACAGAGCAAACAGAAATTTCCACTCTGGAGAGCGTATACAGAAATCTCCGGATACACCGAGCGTATACGGCGGACACGTGTGGACGCTAGGTGTATCCGCATAAAAAAATTTGCGGATACGAAAATCTCCGGATACGTGTGGACGGGGCCTAAGAAAACCGCAGGTCATCTCGGGGGGGGGAGGCACACCCCCTGCACCCTCCCCCTATCTCCGCCACTGATACAGTTCTCTATCACGAAAAATACTGGTAAACTGGTAAAATATTAGCCGGGAATTTCTATTTAGAAACAGCGTCCATTTAGCAAAATGCACATGTTGTCAACCTCGTCCCCAGGGCTTTTCCCATTTTTTAAGGGAAAAGCACTGGGGACGAGTTTTACATGTTGTGGTTACGTCGAGAGTAGTCATTGATCATTAGTCATTGAGTAGCACTAAAGTAAAGGTCAATAACTAACGAGGGGGAAAAGAAGAGGGGAGAATAGCGAAAAAGGAGAGTTTAACTCACTCTCGCCCATCTTTCCTTTTGTGCTCACCTCGTACGATTTAACTCGATCCTCACCATCTGTTGAAGAATTCTTGAATCCTAACTAACAGTGCAGCTGTACTACATCGTCACGTTAAGGTTCGAGCTCCACACTTTCACCAAAAAATTATTGAAAATCTACTGTCAGCAGTGCGTATTTGACGTTTACGTGTATTACTCTCTGAATCAATGCCTTAATGAAACGACCCTTTAAAACCACTTCCAGTTATTGGCCCTACTCAGTAAAAAAAAAAAAAAAATTAAAATCGGTCCATAAAAAACGTATTTCAATCAGTACTGTTATAACTTGTTTCGAATCGCTTTTTCAATTCCGGTTATAAGTCGCTTCGGATATAAACTCCTCCGTTTATAAGCCCTCCTAGAAGCCCTTACAAAGATGTATAAGACCAGAGCTTACAAGAGGCAAATCACGTGCCGAGAGCCTTGTTAACCAGGCTTGGTGATGACTAAAAGGATTAACTCTGATTCCATTGTGGCAAGGGGATTGCCATACACACTACTGATAGTAGCCTTACGTAAATGCTTTTTTCTTAGTTTAGTTCAATTCCCTTTGAGAAACGTCATGTACACAAATCCGTTCTTGAAGGAGATCTTGAAATAACCGCAGCGTGTAGTGATCCTTTCTCGTCTGATTATACCTTTTTCCACTCTAGCTCCTAAACAGTAAGAGTATAATTTGAATTCCCTTTAAGCCAAGATAATGCCTGTTACATAAAATGGATAGCCATTGGAATTAATTGAAGCTCTGCCATTCAAGACGATATTAAAACGGCTTATTCTAAGTTATATACCCTGCATGATTCATTAAATCATGAAGGCTACTGATCATGGGTTAATTTGCTTTAGTAAACATATCTATAGCTAAGAGTTAATTACTCGAAATGAAAACTTGAATAACTTTGAAAACTGCTTAATCAGTTTCTGTGCTTTGGAAATAAAAGTTTAGAACTGATATTTGTGACGGAGAAAGTGGTTGCCAAAAATTGACTGAAAAAGATGATATTTTCGATAGTCTCATTTCCGTCACTTAAATAGCACCTGTAAAAGAACAGTTATAGTTTGATTGAGACTCACGTCCCCAAAACAATTAATAACTTTATTCCGAAAAAAAAAAAAAGAATAATAAACTGCTAAAGAAACACAGTATGGGTCAAAAACGGCCGGCCGGAAGAAGAAGAGCACCTGTGAGTCACGCATCATCATCGATCGGGCTCTTTAATACTAAAGTTTTTAATATCATCTCAACTATCCAGGTAATGAGGGAGTTATAAATCACCGCAGTTTTAGTAGATACAGACTTGCTTCAAGCGCAAGTTAATAGGAAAGATCTGCTGCCGTTTCATGTGTATAACTAACCAAGTGTCTTGTGTCAGAAAACAATAAGGTGTTGATTGATTACTGATGTAAATTGATCTGAAAGTCGAGTCTCTATTGTGATGTCAAAAGGACCTAATGACGATGACTCTACCATCTGAGAAGGTTCGCTTGTAAAACGACATGTTTACTTTGCTTTTCTTCGTTTCTTATGACGTTCATTTAACTGTTATGAATGGTCATTACCCATGGTGATAGCAAACTAAAACCGTAGAGCATTGATTTTAGACCGGCTAAAAGTAAAACTCTATATATCGTTGGCTGGATAGGAAACCGTAAGTCTATCCTCACTGACTATCCTGCAATGACAATGAGGAAGAATTATGCGAGTTCTTCGACGCAATTTCTGTGCACTGAAGGAGGAGTGGAGAATGCTAAAGAAAATCTTCCACTAGTAGGATTAAATGTGCCGGTTTTCATCGGAGAGAACAGTTCTTCAGGGGAATATACACTTGGTTTGCCTACGCTGACAAAATCAGTAGAGAACGGGAACTTTTTACAAAGGAGCTTTAGCCAGGAAACTGATCCAAGCTCTTCATCGCGGAATATTGCTCGTTTGGCACGAATCTCGACTTCCTCGACAGCAACAAGTCCAAATACATTATTTGAAGGATTTCAAATTCCGACCGAGACGGTCATTCCGGTGGAAAATGTTGGTCCCATAAAGAAGAAAAAAAGTATATCGGCGCAAGACGCCATTCCAATTCTACCCCGCTCCGCAGCCATTGCTTGTCTCATTTTGAACATTTTAATTCCCGGTTTAGGTAGGTCTGTCTGTGTTCATCAGTTTTTCTTTGCTGTCGGCACTAACTACAGTCTGTCAGCACGGCTTTAATTAGCATTTATTTACGCTAGAGGTTTTGTTTCCAAGGGGAAATTCTCAGTTGGATATTGCAACCAGACTTTTGATGATTGAATTGCTCCCCGGGAATCTCGGATTTAATACAAAAAGGTAAATCGTTTGAAACCGATTCTTGTTAGATCTTCAATGCAGCACTGTAGAAAAAAACGGTTCATTTTATATACTGCAAAATTCATCATTAGGCCTTTTCGTGCAAAGCTGGGAATAAATTAAAATGAAATGCCGGATTATCCGAGACAGGGCTTTGACCCATGCCATGTATTTTGAATTTCTCAGTTTCAGCTTTCGTCAGTAATATTATTTTGTATTGTTGACAGGACATTTGAAGTTAGAAAAATAGAGGAAAATGAATATTCACCACCATTTTATGATTTTCTTGAACTCGCTCAAGAGCTTTAAATTTTCCTCCATACATAATAACTGTATTCAGTTTAATTGTTTCGAATTGTTGCGTGCAGGATGACATAAAAAAAGCGATATTTTAATGTGTTCGATCTCATATAGACTGTCAGTTCTCAAGAGGCAATTGATAACAAGTAAATTCTCAAAGGACCTCTATCCGTTGATAGAAAAATGGAGTTTTCCATTTGCTAGTGCGCTTGTGAACTGAATCTTTGCGAAGGGCGAAAAATCCCTACAATGTATCAGCGTCGCATGTGAGCCATTGTCAGTGTAGCCAACTTCTAAATATTGTCTTAATTCTCGAGCTGAATTGTGCGAATTGTGCGCTCATCGAAAAAATTCTTTATTCTCAACAGAATTACAGATATTAATCTTCCGAAGGTATCAGTGCAATCTCGAATCAAACAATTTTATCAAACAAAGCGCATTTAAAATCTTTACTTAACGCCTTCTAGAGCCGTGAGTTGATACCATCAAAGGTTATGATTTCTCTATCACAGTATGAATCCGAATCTAACGTTGTTCGTCAGACTACACGGTAAAAAAAGTAATAAGGATAATATTTAAAGAACGAAAGTCATAAACGCTTTCTTTATTTGCTTAATCCAGCTTCCTGTTGTACTTACGTTAGGCAGTCGTTTGTAACACTTTATTAATTACGTATGCATGCAGTACCAAGTATTGAAATAAGCGGCGATTTCAACGGCTGAATTCTTCAATTTTGGTATTGTTTACGTCTGAAATTTAAAGGAGAGAGTGTTTTACGTAAAAGAGTGATTTAAATTGCTAAAACAAGGCGTTCAGTTGTAAAATCCCGATCCACTTGTATTATTGTCCAGCCAGGTTTACAGACACCTGTACAGAGGACTATTCACGGTTATGTAACCCAAAAAAATATATTATATATTTATCACTCAATTTTCCATGAGTACAGTGATTATCCAGAATATTTATTAATTGCAATCGATGGGGTTGATAAAGATCGACTATTTTACTACTTCTATTTAGCTAATGCAGTTACACATGAAACAGTTTGCAGGTAATTCTCGCCTTTGTTGTATATCCGTCATACATTATTCATATCGTTATTAACCCATTCGTCCCTTGAAATTTTGCCGAAAAACGCGTTTTAAAGGTCTCCGTGAGGTTTTCCAGTCACCTGAGAGTCGTGCTATAAAAAGCTAAAACTTACCATGAGGCCATTTTTCAGGTCGTACATTTCGCGGCCCTCTGATCCAAATGCCAAATATTAGCTTGCGAAGTTCGGCATACGCAGGGTTTAAAAGTGACACAGCAGTCTTGACTTTTACTTTCCTCTTTCTCTCCTCCCGTCGATCTTTTTTTTGCTTTTCTTGCCTCATTTATTTTTTCTTTTGCTGGGCATTTAGTAGGCTTCATTTTGGTGGCAAACGTTTACTAGGAAAGCTTTTAGGATCTTAGAATTGGATGAAAGGAAAGATAGGCGGGTAGTGGAACAAGATTTTCACGGAAATTTTCAGGTCAATGTTACTTGGTTTTTCGCCTTTTTCTCCGGTGTAACTTGACTGAATTGAACTCATTCTGGTATAGTGTGAAAGACCTCTTCACTCTGCACAAGTTAGCGGACAAAGTTGTCCTTGAATTAAAACTGACGACGTAACAAGTGTTAAAAGGGACGTGGATCCGCACAAGCGGTTAGGGACGGCGCGGGGGAGAATGGGTTAAAGAGATTACTTACGCAGTTTATTAGTAGTGAATTTTTGAAACTCAAGTCTTGAAATGTAATCATTTAGCGTAGAGCATGCTCTATTCTCTTTCGTTCTAATTTTTTCCCTTCGGTTCGATCGTCCTTTGTTCACAAAATTGATATTAGCTGCGATAAAATAGTAGATGGGGGAAAAGAGAATAAAAACAAAAATCGAAAAAAGGAAAAAATGAAAATTAAATCAGTGAAAACGAACCATTGAATGGCGTAGGTTCTTGTATTAATGACAGTGAAATAGAGTGAAAGGAGACTGGCCGACAGTTCTTCTATTTTTGATTACTTTTTATCCTTAACTTCTATGACTACTATTTCGATCCATCATTGCCAGTCTGACTCTATGCAAAAAAGCCTTTCTATAATGAGCATTATCCGAGAATTTTAGCGGGGAAAATGGAGCATTATAAAGTTGGAGAATTTTAATGGGGAAACAAAAGCATAATGTACAAAAGCCTACTATGCAGTTCATGAAAGTAATGCTATGAGATCGGGAGGAGGGAGATGAAAACGTCTACCAACTTGACCCGGCAATTTGTTCCTTTTTACTTATCTCTATCATTTCATCGCCAGATTCAGCCGTAAGAATAATCTGGGACAATTTTTATCCGCTCATTTCCTAACTTAACAAATTTGAATATGACCATTTTTATTATTTCTTGTTGACCGGGATTCTAAATCTCTCTTTTGTAACTATTTCATTTACAGCTGATGGTCGAGGTAAAGATGACGTCCTATTTTTAGAGTCTCCCTCTCTCCTGTTTCTCTCTATCTGATTGGGACACGGAGAAATAGTGACTCTGGGGCAACCATCAGTAGGATAGAATACCGTGAACTGCTGCTTATAAACCCTGAGCATGTACATCTTGTAGTTTCTAGCTTTAGTTTGCAATGTCATTTACACCGCACTTACAATCGGAGGGACTTATAACCAAGGGAGCTTATAACCGGAATAGAAAAAGGGCTTCGAAAAAAACTATTAATAGCAGTGCTGAACAATATACGTCTTGTATTTACTGGTTTTTAATTAAGCTTCAAAAGGTCATAATAAATCGAATTCATTTCGATACAAGCTAGACGGGGATTTACATCCAGGGGGGGAGCTTATTTAAGCAATAGACCACACTTTCTATGGGTTTAACGGCGTGATATCCCACGAGGGATACGGCTTGTGATTTACAAGGCTTTCTCGTGTTCTTCCAACCTCCCGAGTGGGTTATCACGCCGGTAAACTCATAAAAAGTGTGGTCTATTGCTTTTATAAAATAACTTTAAGTTTTCTATGAGATTACCGGCACAATTAACCATAGGTTTTAAAACCAATCAGAACGCGCGTACTCAGCTATCTAAATTATTTCATGAAACCCGATATATAGAGGATATTACACGGTGGCGAGAAGATATGAATTTTTTGTTCGAGTGGCAAGAACAATCTCACGAGTGAGCGAAGCGAACGAGTGAGATATTGTTCTTGCCACGAGAACATAAAATTCATATCTTCGAGCCAACGAGTAATGTTCTTTTTATTATATGGAGAAACCAATCAAAAAAAGCAAAAGGAGGGAATCGTGACGTCATTGAACGATACGACACTCACAAAGGTGACACTGGGAAAATACGCCACTCGGGTCCCGGATAAAGTGGCGTATGGAATCTACGAGTGGTTTAGTTCCCAGTAAAACACTCTCCTCCATATAATAATTATTTTTATTTACAGGCAGATGGGCCTATAACTTGAAACAGGCTAATAAGCAGGACCTTACTTTGTGTTTGTTTCCATGTTTCATTACAGGAACAGTTGTATCAGGCTTGATAGCTTTTTTCCTAACTCGACGCGAAATCCCCCTTAAGGACCGCGCATCCATTCTTTGCGTGAATTTTTTTGTGGGAATCATGCAGTTGACGACTATTGTCTTCCTTATGATTGGTTGGATCTGGAGCATCGTATGGGGATGTGCATTTGTAGGGCTATCTGGTAAGTTCACATTAAAACCTGGATACAGTTTAATCTTAATGTGCGGCCCCCTCTAATAAACGACCACTTATCCAAAACACCAAAATTTTGCCCTTCAAAGCACTCTAGTACGAACGTCTCGTAAACAACCACCTCTCATATAATAAGCGACCGTGGCCACTTTTGAGGTGATGTTTTTATAATTTTCCATTGTTTTTAAGCTCTTGAAAGCGACTGCTTGACGCATGGTCGGATCTCTATTTTCGTTGTACTTGTATGTACTACACATGCACTCAGAGTATGCGAAGAACTTAAGTTGGGGACAACATGAAACTACACATATCGTCATTTTCGATAAGGAATACTTGTTCAAAACGTTGATGTCTCCGGACTTCTTCGCCATGCACCTCCTGTTTAGCGCCGGACCACTAAGTTTCGGCATTTCGCTTGGTCCCTTAGGGAAGGATCGACTGTAAAACGGCGCTCTTTTGCCCTTATATAACGAATGACATCTTAGTTTGCCCCTTATTATATATGGTAAACTTGAACTCGTATACTGCTACTTCACAGGACTATTTGCAGAGACATTATTAGGGCAATAATGTTGGAATAATGTTGTGACAATTCGAAACCACAACGCAACAATAATGTTGCAATGTAATCGTGCGCTCAAAATCATATTTGAAAATTATCCAGTGCAAGATCCATCATTAGAACTTTGTTGTTTACAAAGATCATTAAGCATTAAAAGTGTTTTCTTCGAGTTTGCCTGTGATGTCGAGGTTTCTTTATTTTATGATGTGAGGTGTGGATAACTTAATATACATTTGAAGTGGACAAAATTTATATTGAGTTTAACTGTGAGTTTTTAACGTAATTAAGCTTTGGTGTGAAGTTTCTAGACAGCCATTAACATTACATTTGCTTGCTGGAGTGACGATTAATGTTTTCATTTTGCAGAACACTACGGTAAAAACATTGAAAAGGTAGAGGGAGGCGAACTTATTGCCTAAACAAGTAGGACACCTGGTAAGGACAGCAAACTGTCTGAAGTGGCCACGTCCGCCTGGCGTCTGGTCAAAGTATGCGAAGACTACTTGGAAGAGGTCATGTGAGTGGTGCTGCTTCATCAGTTACTGATACTTATTCGACAAAGATTACCTTGTTGGATGACTCTCTTGGGAAGGACAGGAGATATAGTTTTTATATTCACAGCCAGTAGGGTAACTGACGTTTTTGTCTTCGCTTAAAGCCGACGCGATATTGGTGTTCTTAGACACCAGCAAACCGCTGCAGTGGAAGTCAAGTTTTGACACAGGGTAGATGATAAAGCTGCGCATGTGCATTGCTGTGTACGAAATAACTGTTTTACTCGAAGGAAGCTTTCACATAAGTTTAGGCTATTTTTAGAGAAAGTGTGTCTAGCTACATCCATCACTGTAAGCTGAATTACGTGTCACATAATGTGAAGTGGTTTCCTTTGAGCTCAATGTTCCACTGGTCAGTATAACCTAGGAGAAAACTCATGCTTGGAATAGCAAGGAATTATTTGTCTAAAAATAAGAGACGGAGACGTGGGCGGGCCAGTTTAGGATAGCCTGCGAGCAAGCTTTCCATTGGGGTAGTCGCGAGAAGTCACGCGAGAGCTACACGCGAAAGGCGACGCGAGTGCGCGTTCCCTCGCGGCTTGCTTGCTTGAAGGCCAGTACCATGAGGGATTTTAAACTCTAACCCTGTTTAAGGAAAGTAAAATTCAAAATTTTCATGAAACTTTTCTTTAAGGTCCACAGTCACGATAAAGAGATCAGGGAGTACTTACTAGACATAATCATTTTTGTTGCCTTTTGCATTGTATAAAAACGGGCTATTTTTTCTATTTTAAATCCACGTCCATCCTTGCTATCTGTAGCAACAAACGCCAGGAAACTGTTTCAATACCTAAATATGAGCTCAAATAACAAAACTGGAATTTATCTATTCTTGAAATACAATTGATATTGACACACGTTCAAGCTGTCTTAAAAAGATGGCAAATACCATGACAGAGCCCCTTTAAAAATTGAGCACAACGAAAACATATCCCATCTCTCGCCGCGAGCGCGCCTGTATGACTAGAGCGGGAACGTCAGTTGATGAGGGCGCGCGCAAGTCAAACAACTGGCTTGACCAATGACAGAGCGGCAAATTGAGCACCGGAAGTCGAGTTTAGTCCTTTCCGCGCGCTTTCCCGTTGTCAAATGACGTTCCCGTTCTGTTGCTTAATCAGCCTAATATGGGCGGGGTTTTGAAATTCATACAAGTTTCGATACCACTCCTACGCCTAATCCTCTTAGAGAGCCTCATCAAATAAATAAGTATGAAAAAAAAACTATGTACAGGGCTAATGCTTCACTTTAAGGTTATTTTTTGCTTGCCAAAACTTTTTCGAATTCACAGGTTTCACAGTTGCCTTACAAATCAGTCTTTTACTTTATTTTCGCATATAACGACGATCAAGACTGTTTTTCGGGTACCTTGAGCTGCAAAAACACATTTATTTTCTCCTTTCCTTCGTTAACTTTCCGTTAATTACTCCTCGTTGATTATTAGAGCGACTTTTTGGTATCATTTTTATGTCCACACAAGTTTGTTTGGCACGTACAAACTTCTGCGTTTACGGCTTCGCTGAATGGATACCTTGAAATCCGTGTTATACGACCCTCTTATTAAGCCCCCAGGTTATAAACCAATCTGATTGTAAACAAAGACTTAATTATACCCTGGTTTTACGCTCGGTTCGGTTAATCCTGGACTCTACTGTGAGCTGTGACGTTACCGAGAGAAATTTGCGCAGACAAGGGGGATAGAGAGAACGCCAAAGGACCATGCTGGGACAACCGTAGTGTACATTCGTGCGCATGGTACCTCCAGCCAGCCGCGCCTCTCGCTCGCTGTTTCTCACGTTCCATCAAGTTTGCATCGAGAATAGAACAGCTGTGCAACGTGTGTAGACAATAGAGCGCACGTTTTTTCACAGTCCCTTGGCACTTTAATTGGTACTTTAAGCGTTAGATTGGTTTGGTGTATAGTTTAATTGTGCTTTGGGACTAATTTTGACCCAGTCTCCAAAACAGTCCAATGACCATAGTGCAATTCGTCACAACTTAGATTCAATCTCACAAGCAACAGCACAATGGTCAAAATCGAAGTTTCAATGTACATCTCTTACGCAAAGCAAAAAAATATTGCCAAGTTCACAGAATTACTCAATATCACACATTATTAAATAGCTACTTATGGGTGCGACTTGCATCATGTAAAAATCTAAGTTCACTTGTAAAATAAAGTAACATACATACTTGGACAATAAGTCAAAAGTACATACATCCATATTTACTTTGTCCCGAAATTGAGACTTATTTTATCAGTTGCTTCTGAAAAGTTTTTTTTTTTTTGATGTTGTTCTATTTTACTTACTATAAATAGATTCTAGATTCAAGTATCTTTGAAATTTTTTCTCGATAACATAATTGTTAAGAAGAACCCCATACGGTTTCAAACATCAATTTCAGGTTGAAGTTGAACACAAAAGTCCCTGAAGTTCTGATTTTTACCTGCCTCCTATCATAACGATACGACAATTAAAGTCAACTCCCGTTACGGCAGACACCATCGGGACGCACCGCGAGCTAGTGTCCCTTATAACGAGAGACCGTAACAGCGGAGAGTTCATTTCAGTCAAACTTCTGTACTTTACTTTTGCCGGAGGTTGGACACTATCCATATAGGTGTGCGTAGTAGCAAGGTGTCGCCGAAGCGAGAGTTGGTTGTACTGTTTCTTAAAACACGGTAAGAAGTTTCATGGGAACTAATTTTGCAATTTATAGCACTTAACAAAACACTGAATTACAAACACCAATAAACAAACAAGCAAAAAATACACACACAAAAAGCGTTATCTAAAAACGATATTATCTTCAAAACGATGATGACAGTTATAAAGCGGTTTTCAAGCGAGTTATGTTTTCTATAACCAATCACAACACACAGTGCGAAGTTGATTGAATAAACCAATCATAACTATAGGGAAATATACATTACGGGAAAACGCGTGTGTGCAAGTCACGATTGCTTTTGGTTTTGTTGTGACTGTTAGAGAAAGTGGCGCGATGTTTTACAGTCAACTCCATCTTAACGGACACCTCTGTAAGACGGACACATGGTTTTGGTCCCTTCCGTTTTTCAGTCATTTCCAAGTTACTGTAACTATACCCTTTATCAGACGGACACCTCTCTAAGACGGACAACAGATACTTTTGAAACCGTCAACGGACACTTTTGAAGTGCTTTATGTGGTGAAAAATACTTCAAAACGGAAATGTAAAGTAAATTGCAAAATTTTTTTTATATTTTTTGTAGTCTTGCCTCAGTTCGCAGAGTCAAGCTGTCACACTTTTAGAACACGAAGCCGGGAACGTTTGCTTGTAATGAACGTTTCATTGCACAATGAGAAATTAATTTCACTTTGCTGTTACAATATTCCAGTGTTAGCTGTTTTGTTCAAGACGTGTATTCATTGCGAATAGGTTCAGCTTTAAAATTGGTGGTGCACGTTACCCCGACTGTCTATAAGCCGAACACATCTCTAAGATGGACAGTTAAGGCCGGTTTCGAAGGTGTCCGACTTTGAGAGAGTTGACGGTATCAGCCAATCATAAAGAGCAAAACCAGAGCAGTCATAAATTCAGTATTTTTGACATTTTAACTGCAATGAAAACCACTCTTTAAAAGAGAATTTTAAGAAGCGTTATAAGATTGATAACTTAAGTGTGATAGAATTCTTGTAAGCTTATTACATAATGATCGAATAATGTGTCCAGAATTTAAAACAAAGATATCATGGCATCCCTTGACTTCCCAACTCCAACCCATTGCACTGCAATTTAATAAACAATAAATACTACAATAAGTACACAAATTGAGATCGGGTCTAATCATTGGAGAGTAAGGCGTACTTCATTTTTTTGCGTCTGTGGAAAAAATCCTATGGCACCACCTTCAGCGGTACTTTCACGTGGTACTATTTACGATGCTATAAGGCTACAAATAGTAAATTTATTTGTCTGTGGTTGAAATCTTAGGACATGCCGACCGCCAAAAGAAACCTGTTATAAGCAGCATTTTTATGTGGTACTATTTATGACACTGTATTAACAGATTACAATTTAAAGTCTGTGAATGAAATCCTTAGATGCCGAAATCACTTTTTTTTAGTAGCAGTTTACATTACTATAAAATTTAAATAATTTCAAAATTCACTCATGAAAAATTTCTACTAGCTGTTTCTCGCTGAAATTTCTAATAGTCTAACCTCCCGTGACAAGACCACCCAAAATACGAACATTTGGTGGGCATTTACAGGAGCTGGCCGTTTCTAAGGGGTTCCAACATCGATCGTCCTCGCTTTTCACAAGGAAGAGTGATCTTAATGTCTTGACTGGTGGTCATAGAAGGATGTTCAACTGTACAATGTATTTGGCTGAGTAAAGAGAAAACACGAACTCGTATGCATTGACTTGATAATAAACTGACCTGGAATTTTTGTAATTTCTTCAATTTTTCTGACATAACTTTGAGCATTGACCGGCAACTCGCTGAATGTTCTGCAATTCTCTATGCTGGTCATCCAGCCAGGAAGAGTGATGTATTCAACTTCAACTTCATCCAATACTTCCACAGAAGCTGAAATTAGAAGAAAATTTCATTTTCTATGCTTGAACAATAAACAGTCCATTGAAAATATCACAAGACTTTTCATTAAGGCAAACAGAGAGGAGAACTGTAACGTCACGTTACCATGGTAGCAAAATTTCTGGATCGCAACAATAGACCGAAACTAACTGGTTGTCAAACTAGTTTCATTTAATGTGGAATGCGCATGTCCTGTTGAGCCGACTACACGCTGGAAATTTTCTGAGCCCAGAGTTGTTATCGCGCAAACTGGTTCTGTAAGTTGTGACGCACGTGACTAAAACGTTACTGGTTGTTACGGAAACGCCAGTGCATATGTGACAGAAAACTTATCCCAGGCTGGCAGAGGTCTCTTTCTTTCCTCTCTGTCTTCTTTTGCTATGAGAGACCTCCCAGTCTGTTGGCAGGTAAGGCAATTAGCATAATGAACAATTGGGTGTCAATAATATGCCAATAGAGGGATGGGGCCCATTATTTTGATTTGTTTTCCCTTTCATGCATTGATTAAAGAAAAAACGAAAAGGAAGCAAAATGGTAAGCAAAAAACGAGAAATCCCAATGCTGACCCAAAGAGGGTGTTTTACTGACGCCTACAACAATTTTCTGAAAAAAAAAGATGTTTTCTTACCAGGGAAGGAATCTACAACTTTTCCTTTGTGTTTGTAAGAGATTCCAATTTTCACTTCTTCAAAAGTGTCTAAAACATCCAGCTTGGCAACAGCAAGGCTGTCAAAAAAAAAAGAAAGCTTAAGGTTAAAAAGCAACTAGTACAGACTTTAACACTGATCATTTTAAGGCATCAAAGAACATCACAGCTATGTTAACAAATGAACACTAAACTATGAAGGTTAGAGCCTAGGAATGTGGTTACTTTTTGACATTATGGGGAAGTCTATTTTTCCATTTGGAAAGCTAGAAAGATTTCTCCATACAAGCTGTATGGACACAAACTATTCAAATACATTAAGTGGACAGTAAAATTGTGATCATGGGCCATAGAAAAATTGAGGCAACTTAAGTAAAAAAATAAACAAACCAATCTGAGTCATTTTCTACTCTCAAGCCAGTAGTCTTCAATCAGTTTACTCGAAACAGTAGCATCCCCACGATAACTCCCTTTCAAAAACCCAACACACAAAGAACATGGGTCAACTTTGGACTTTTGTCTTAATATTTGTAGCTGTGAACATTATCTGTATCCATGCACATAGAGCTTTATGCCATTATTAACAACTGAAAAACTTTCACCTCGTTTCTGTGAAAATGAAATAGCATACTACAAGAAGAAAGTGAATAGTGAATGATGAAATTTTTGACAAACTGATGAACATGAAGTCTTACTACCTTGTGAAATTATTTATCATGTGAGAATACTTGATCATGACAAGATCAAGCCAGCCACACCGCCGCTTTCGACCAGTCGTAACCCCAAATTCCCTGCCAATCTGCTGCATCTTGTCACCGAGTTCCTAAAATGAAAAAATAGTTGATTGTAACAGTTACTTAAGAGCCAAATAAATAACATCATAATAAAAGTGGTTATCTGAAGAGGTGCTTGGAAATAATTCTTTCTTTTTTAGAATCACAGGCAAGACAAACTAGAGGGAGAATTTAGCAGTTTATCAAAAGTCATTTAAGGCTACATTTTGAACACTCCTTCTTTCATTACACCATTCAGTGCCTTGAAGAACGTGCATGGAGAAAAGTTTAATGGATGTCAATAAAATTGAAAGGAGAGCTTTAAGGGTTGGCTATGATACAAGTCAACTTTGATTTCAGGTTAAATTTTTGAGCTTACTGGCTTAATTAATGAATGAATGTAAGGTCATTTCTATTGTCTCATGAATGCAATAACACATAGCCTCCAGAGCCAAAGTGAGACTGGATTCGATACCTGGTATCTTCCAATTTTTTTTACTCTGTGTTACAAATGCGTTGTATGACAAGGAGGAATTTGATACTGATTGCTCTCGGGGCTTTTTAAAAAGTTTAAATAGGATATTATCAGCTTTTCTTTTCGTGGGGCTGTTGACATTCAGGAGGAGGGGGGGGGGGGGGGGGGGGGGGAACATTTTTTTTTTTCTTGTGTTCAAGATGGTTTTTGAGAAAAAAAGAATTTTTAGTGTGTTTGCTCTGGGGTGTTTTAAAAAGTTTTAAAAAGGAGTTTTTTGGGTTTTTTTTTTGGGGGTGGGTGGAAATAGGGGGGGGGGGGGGGGGGGGGGTTGGTGAAGTGCAAAATAGAGAGTCTCTAGATTTTAGATCTCCAGTGGTTGGCATCTCTGTTAACAGTCAATACCACCAATGCACACTTGGGTCAGATTGAATAAATTTTTGTCTTTTAATACTTAAAAGATTCCGACAAATCTTTCCGACAAAGCAAAATATAAACAACCTACATTCTTAAGCTCAGTTGGAAATCCTCCCAAGCCAACCCTTGTTGTGTAGGCCTTGGTCACTCCAAAAACATTGCCTATTGCAGTTGGTGGAATGCCGAGTCCAGTGCACACGGCACCTACTGCGCAGTTAGAGGAAGTCACGTAAGGGTATGTACCTGGTGAATAAAAACAACATTACGTTTTTATTTCCTTGAGTAATTACAATGTAGAGAGATTTAGAGTCGAGTTTACAGAAAACAGCAAATGTCGGATTCAAGTTGAGGAATTCCCAAAGTAGAGAATGAGCAGACAAAAACAGCTTAAAACAATTTTTATTACTAAAGCTAGTAGTGTGAATATCCACTAATTTCTGTGTAGTTATATGAAGAGTCAAAAACAAGTAAAGGGGAAACTTGGTCACTCACTGGTACATGTACAAATTCACATTTGCCATCGCCATAAATGTAAGTTACTCTTTTTATCTCTCTATTATCATCCTGCAGAGCCTATAGTTTTGTGAAAGATGACAAAGTTTAATCCCCACCCAAGCTAGTTTAACCAAATTTTAAGCAATGTTTTCTATTCTTTGGACATACAATTGGAGCTTGAAAATTATGTTGATTCTTTCTGTTGATTTCCAGTTATGAGATTATGACAGTATTAAAACACATGCAAGATCTGATGGCACTGATCAAAAAAATCTACCGGATTAATTAATATTGGCTACGGTATTATTCTAATCCTGAATCTAAGTCTTAAACAACCTTACAGGAACCATGCCCAGAACATTTAAGGACCGTCTATTAGTAAATATTGTCTTAGAGTCTGTGTCTCTTCTTCAATGTATGCAAATTTTGGAAAAGAAGAGAGAATTCCATAAAAACTTACCAAAGTCTATGTCCAGCATCAGGGCATTGGCTCCCTCCACTACAATGTTGGCAGATTCATTCTGCAGGGCTTTGTGCATGTAAGTTACTGTGTCACAAACCATGGGGCGGATCTTTTCTGCATAGTGCTACAAAAGAAGACACAATAGTTACTTTAAAACTCCTCCTGAATTAATGCACACCTGCACAATCAATACCCAAAATTATGGCACAGAGAGGTGATTATTTGTAAAGGATGAGACAGCCCAATAATAAACATTTGTAGCAGGTTAAAACTTAAAAGATGCGCCAACTAGATGGGTTGGCTATGATTGGTAAACAGAACCTGAACATGTACATACACAAACAATAATTTTACATTTTGACCTTATTTCAGAGATGGAATTACTCTGTAAATCACCTAATGTTGGTACATGAGCATCCTAACAGTAGCAGTTATTATTAGGAAAGTTACAACGCAATTGTAAAATGCGGTTAATGGGGCATGACGCCATTTGTCAGGGATAGGTCATGCAACATCGTGCCATCCCCTTTGCATACACAGTGTTACTTTTACTCATAGTATGTTAGCTCTCTGTTAAGTGCGGGAAATTACTAGATACAATAGAAATTGTCAGCTTATGTTTCAGTCTAGCTGGCTACATATGCATCGCTTGTTTTTATTATTATACCTTGTACTTTGCAATCTCGTCTTCAACATTTGTGCTGAGGTCTGGATACCTTTTGTTATGGTAAAATGCAATAAGATTAAAAATGTTACATTCAACTGTAAATCAACTACAAAGAACTTTGCAATGAGGATATGATGATAATTCATAACATTTATACCAGTGGTTCCAGAAAATACCCTGCACACTATGCCAATAAATGGTCACTGGAAATTACAACAGGGAGTAGGGTCTTACAGGCCAAAATTTTATTTTGGAATCTTGCCTTAGAAATTTCACAATGGGGAAGGAGTGGGTGGGGTTCATTCTATAGAAATTTGTCAACTGTTAACTTTTATACATGTACAATGAACATACGTTTTAGTGCAGTACTTACAGTCTCTGAAAGTGTGACACAAGTCCTCGGAATCTGCAAAAACAATGTTCATATTATATACTGATACCGATTTTAGACAAGTTTAATGTGAATAATCCCTAAGAAGAGTGACATTCACCATTGAAATTGTGGAAGAACATTCAAATATCATTGACTGTGGCAATCATACTGGAGTGAGTACTACTTACCGTTTTTCAAAAACTTCAAAATCTCCAACCAAGTCGCATATTCTGAGTCCAATCCTTTGAGCCTAACAAACAACACAAACTGTTATATCTCTTGTTCAAGATGTTTAATATCCCTCTACTGCAGTGGTATATCCACCTGGTCACTTTCTGTTTAGGTAAATTTCAATATTGTTTATTTTTCACCCATCAGTATTGCACAGGCCACCCATTCACAATTTAGCATTTGTAGTATTAATAAACACTCTGTTCAAACACTCACAGCAATTTATGCATTTTTTATAAAATCTAATAAATATATTAAGCACCTTTGAGGCATAAGTGGGTCCAATTCCCTTCTTTGTGGTTCCTAACCTAAAAAAAACATAGTAATACAAAATTATTAGTCTGCCTAGCCTACAGGACACGTTTTTCAAAACAAAAACACAAACCCTAAGGTTGATCTTTAAAAAAATGAATTAAAAAAATCCTAATAAACTCACCCTCCTTTACCACCTTCCCTTAATTTGTCTGATTCCTGGTGTAAATCAAAAACTATAAAAAAAGTTACAAATGGATTAGAAATCAACTGAAATAAAAAAAATATATACAATGATTTCTTGTAAAAACCACTGTAATAACAGTAGTACAACATTTACAGTGTATTTAGAGAAAAGAGCCAAAAAATGCAATACCTATGTGTGCTCTGTCAGAGACTAAAAGTCTTCCCTGCCAATCCGGCACCCCTACAAAAAATATAACATTCACTGGTTAAATATCAGATTTTAAGCTTCATGATTATGGAACAGATAAGGCAAGGGACATTTTTGGCTACCTTTTGCATCAAGTGCTTGTAACTCTTCAAAAAACTGAGGAATGTGAATTACCACACCATTACCTACAAAAACAACAAATAAAAAAGCATAAACAAGTGCACATGGACATGATGATGTAGTCAGTCCTGAGCAATCATGGTTATTAAACAAGCCCTAGGATTTCATAGCAACTAACTTTTCCGCTACCATGTCATTACTGTGGTCTTAAAATAAAAGAACCAAAAAATTGTTTCTCAGTAACATCTCAGCATCTCAGAATCAATTTACTGAAACTCACTATTTTCCCACTCAGATTCCAGTCAACTCACTCCGACTAAGACAGGCACTTTTAATGGGACCAGCACTATGTGTCCATCTTAGAGAAATGTCTGTCTTATATACCTGCCAACTCTCACGCCTTAGGCGTGAGTTTCACGCCTGCGGGTTGAAAACTTCGATCTCACGCCGGCTCACGCTTGCGGGCCAATTTCTCACGCCTGATTGAAAAATGAGAGCTGTTGCCGTCTTGCTTGACACAATTTCCAAAAATATGTTAACTCAGACCCATGTAAGGAACGAAAACCATGTGTAAAATGAATAAATGACAACACCTTCCTCGCAATCTCTGATTGTGTGGATAAGCGTTTTCTCGATAACTTCGCCTTTTGCAGACTTTGGACGTCTTCGCAAGACTTTTGACGTCTTCGCAAGACTTTTGACGTCTTCGGAAGACTTCGGACTTCTTCGGGAATCTTCGGAAATGATCATGTCGTCTTCAAAAATCCCAGCACTCCCAGGATAAAAATCTCACGTTTATATCTCAGAAAAAGTTGGCAGGTATAGTCTTATAGAGAGTCAACTTAAAGAAAATAGAAAGGCAGGGACCAACTCTGGGTGTCCATCCTAGCAAGGTGTGTGTCTTATAATGGTGTCTGTTACGAGAGAGTCGACTGTACAGACTTTCTGTTTGAATTAGAAAAAAGATAAATAGGAAAAATTATGTGGAATTTTCAGGGGATTGTATTATCAAATAGGAAAAGGCATATGATGGGGATTGGTATAAAGCTATTTTCCTTGAGTAAATTTAGCATGGAACAACACTGTTATTTGATTCCCAGCACCACTGGGCATTTTCAGGAGGTTCTGCATGCATCTATATGTACGTCCCAGAACTGCATAGAAGTAGCCTTAAAAATAGATTTTTATTTGTCCAAGTCATGTTAACGTATAGATATATTTTTAAAATTAATCAACGTAGTTTACTCAAACATTAAGTAATTATAGCATTATTATACTATGAAGAAAGTACAAAAGGGGAAACTTGTTACTTACCAATAACACTAACAGCATTAGGTTGTATTAACCCACTAAAATTATAATAAAAATAATATCACCTATCAAGCATTAACCAGTCATAGTCATAAAAGCATACTTAAGTAATGAGAAAATTATTCATTGTGAGACAAATTTCCTTTACACACTTCACCTAATTAGGTGCTTGTTTTTTCTTAATAATTAAGTGCTTGTTGTTTGAGGAATAAGTGTTATTCTATCTATGCTCCTTTTAATTCTTCTGAGAGCTGACAAATTATTTTCTCACTGATGCACTATACAAGGGAAACACCATGAAAACTGATTTTCATTTGCTAAAATAATTTATACATGTACAAATGTAACAGCTACATTTCTAGTCTTTGATGCCAATATTAATAATTTCTGTTCTACCACATGATGCTATGGACAAAGACTTCTTGCAAATGACGATGCACTATAAATTCAGTTCTTATAAATAAGGGGTGCGTTCCTTTGGGATGATCCGGATCAGGATCAGTGATCCGAGGTGACTCGGATCATGGAAGATCAAATGGACCGATGAATCCACTCTGGACAAGGATTAATCGCTTCATTTGATCTACAATGATCCAAATAATCTCGATCCAGATCCTGATCTGGATCACATCAAAGGAACGCACCCAAGAAGAAACATTTTCAAGATGTGATTATGGTAAATCTTACCTTGGGACCATATGAAAGAAATATTCTTTGGAGTCGACAACAACTGTGTGTCCCGCATTGTTACCACCCTAATCAGGAAGAAATTTCATTTTTACACACCCATATCATTCATTAAAGCAATTCATTTAGAGTGACTACTGTACAAAAAATTTGTATCAGTAAATAATGCCATCCCCTTTTTTTTCATTTAGCGCTGAATGCGTTTCCCGATATTGGGTTGGTCGGTTGGACTTAAAAAAAAAAACCTAAAAAAAATCACAAGAAGTCTCGGAATAGGAGGCCCTGATACCCCAGGATGACGTTAAAAGTTAACATTTACATATTTGGATTAACGAAATGCACAATATGCTGTAAAAAAATGTTCCTGTTTTTCTCTACACTGTTCTATGCTCATTTTTCAGATTAAAAGAATTACTTCAAGTGAAAAATGGTTTAACTACATCGTTACTTCTTTTTTTTTTTGGAAAATGCCAAAAATTTGGGTCGGTCAGACGACACTAAACGGAGAAAGAAAAGAGGATGGCCTAAAGGGTGTAAAAAATTTAGTGTAAAACTCAGGGCAGGGGGTACTTCCTTATTAAAATGACGGTGGTGCTGTTTCCGAAAATTTGAAATAGTTTTCACGTTTGTTCAAAAAACCCTGTACTGGGACTGCATTTGTGTGAATTCAGCATATTATAATGTCGCAGTCTTTGTTCGTTAATTGTTAACAAACCCCAGCCTAACGTCTATTCAGGGGACACTTTCCTCGGTCCCGAGGGTCGGTGTCAATCGGTGCATGCATGCATGTGTTTTGTTGTCCCTTGATAAGAGGTTCTATTGTCGTACCAAAATCAAATTACATATTGACTTCAAAAATTCCGTATTTCATCACTGCAGTGATGATAAGCTAAGGTCAATCGACCCTCAATACTGACAACAGCGACAAGGCAAACTGGAAGATCAGTTACGCCATCCAATGGTAATTTCTGTGTTTTCATTTGATGCAGTCTTTGTTGTTGCTGTTTACAAAAACTGAAACGAGATCAGCGATCCTGGTCTGGTCGTTCAAAGTTTGTTTCAGAAGAGCAATATAAAATGTTAAAAAACTTTGTTTCAAGGATCTATGTGACTAGATATGTGCTACAATACAAACCTGACACCGGCACACCAGATCGGCATTAGTCGACAAAATATCCACTAGTTTTCCTTTTCCCTCGTCGCCCCACTGTGCACCCAATACTACCGTGACTTTCGCTCCTGCTTTACGCTGCGATGCTCCTTGTCCATTTACTATCCCAGACATGACAAAGGAGTCAAAAGGAATAGGAAAATATTCAAGTTAACCTTGAGTTCTTTAACTTTTTCGAGTTGCAAATCACCGGTTCCGCGCCAATTCGATTGTATCTGGCACGTGAGCATGTACAGCTGGGTAACCAGGTCGTGACAATAAATTCTACAGGTGGGGGTGGGCAGTTGTGGGCAGTACCGTTGGATCTGCTGCTGGGCGTTTCCGTGGAAACATAGGCCTCGGGTGATTTTTTTTTCCTGGTTCAAATTAAATCACCCTCTGCGCATCTTATACGCGAAGTCCAGTTTCTTAACAAACTCTTTGGAGTGAACCATATGAAAAGCCCTCCAAAGGAATTTGAACAGAGAGTTGCCGATCAAGAATGATTTTTGTCGAAGATATCAGGAATGCTTCTATACGTAGACCTTATCACGGCCGGTAGACTACGAGTAGTCCCCATTTTCCCCAGGGATAGTAGAGCGAGCGAAACGAGAGCCCGCGTGAAAATCACCCCACGCGAGAAAAGCGAGACGGTTCTAGCGCTGGTAACGCCCTAAATTTTTTTCAGTGTTGTCTACCTGTGAGGTCTAAAAGAGTGCTTTAACTTGGAGCTTTTTTTGTAGCTTTGCTTTACTGCAATCTAATACGGTATAGTCAAGCAAGCGTTTATGCATTGCCTTGCATTCATCACGCAACCCGTTGGGAGTTGTTGCATCCGTTTGCACGTAGCTGGTACGTTTAGTCGACACTGATCGCTCTTGTGATTTTTCATGGCAGATCTTGCCTCATGAGAAGTCCTTGTCGCGTCGTATTACAAAACTAAGAATATTTTTTAATTTATGTGCTTTTAAGGTTGGCTTAAAACAAAAACTACTCAGTAGTACATTGTTCTTTGCGTTAAAAGCATTCGAATTCAAAATTTTGCTGGCATAAAGATACTAAGAAATTAAGAAATATCACTCTGACTAACTCTGAGCAGCCAGGTAAAGATTTTTGCTGTGTGTTTAATGTCAGGGGAACTTTTTTTCAGTGTTCATGCTATGTAAGGGTAATCTATCTATTTAAACTATTTCTTACGATGCTATTGGTTTATTTTTTGTTTCGGGGATGATAGCTACTCTCAAAAAAGTCATTCGTGTGATTTAATACGGCGCAGGACAAAGATCTACCTCTCCTGAAGACTTTGTCGCTCGCTTGGCCACTTTGCGGCCTAAAAAGCTCGCTCCAATCGCTTAAAAACTCGTGAGGTCGACTTGTGGCAAGTGTGCAGGTGGGTTCACTGTGACCCGGACATTTTGATCATCGATTTTCAGAGTCAAAGAGTCTTTTTCACTGAAGTTGACACTATCAGGTTGTACAAACGCGAGTCACTGTCAGCACTTTCTTATTCCAGACTACACTTACCTGGACAATAATATTCCACCTGCTTATAAAATGACTTCTGATCCGTGGCTCCAATGCGCTGATATCAAGTAAAGCTACGTGCAAAAGGACGCAACAACTTCAAACAATGTTGCGTTTGAACGGGGCTAAAAGTCTAACCGGTTTCAAACTTTACGCAACAACAGCCACAACATCCAACAACGTGCAACAGGGTGTGCAAACGGACGCCATATGTAACATCCAACAATGTTGGGATCGGAGTTGTTGGCCAACAAAATTTTGCGTCCGTACGCAGGAGCTGTAAAAAACAACTTACTTACCGTAGAGCGTAAGACCATGTAGAATTATACTGAAGCATAAATCACGTCCATCTACGTGACTTGTTACTCTAGGCCCTAAACTCCTGTTATAAAATTCAGGTTTATGGAGAGTAAAGCTCATATAGCTTATGGTAAAGCGTTATAAATAGAATCTTTACGCCACGTAAGTCAGTATATAAATCAGTTCTTTACTCCAGCTTTACTGAACAATAAAGCTCCGTAAAGTTGGACACTTACCATGACTTACGCGTCCACGTAAACTTCGGTAAAGTTAACCTTTACACTGAATTCGGAAAGATGCGTAGCATTAAGCCAGCTTTATCGAAAAGCAAAGTTGCTATTTCGTGCTGTGCGTTTGCCATGTAAGTATTCCAACTCTTCCATAAAGTGCTTGGGCAGTTTGTTTAGATAGGAAGTGATCGACCTTTTGTGCATGTAGACGACAATCACAGCGTTAAGATCTGTTTGTTTTTATCTAAAAGAGCGTTGGAAGTTTCTTTTACAAAGCAATAGCTTGCTCTCAACACAACTGATTTTTATAGTGATTATCGCTTCTACTTATCTGTTAAACTAGGGAAAATAGTATTTAAGTTGTGGCCTTCATTTGTAATAACGCAGGAGTCACGTTTTCAAAGTCATTACAGTGGCTAAGACATTAATTAAGACATTTATTTCGCGCCACGGTAATTATTTGTTTATTCGGTGAAACTTTGGTCAATGGAGTCACTTTGGTGTTTTTTGCAAATAAGGGTGTTAAATTGCATTGTTGACTTTGAATATTCAATAAGCAAGCTCTTCTTGATTGGTTAAACAAAGACGTCAGCACCTTTCTCATTGGCTAATAACTCCTGTATTGTCTTCATGCCTATAAATTTTCGGCACTATCCGGATGGTTGGGCGGAATCGTAACACCATCATGCCATACACATCGCTCCAGCTCAAATTCACTAAAAGTACTTGTCACAATCAGCCGGACTAATTCAGTCAGTTCATCAAAGCATTCAATTCCGTTCATCTCACAATTCATTCAACTCTCTTTTCTTTCAGTTCATTCAACACTGATTCAAGGTATTTACTTTATTAAATTGATTTCATTCTGATTTAACTTCATTAAAACCATGAAGTTAATTACAAATTCATATATATTCCAGCAGACAGAATTACGCTTGACACACGCATTCATTTATTTGTTCCTGCATTCACTCGGTTATTTTAGAAACAACTGAGTAAGCGATTTTAAAATTACTTACTAACCCGCTTATTACGTATGTTATCAGTTCTATTTGTACTGAAAAGACTCTTACATACTTCTAACGCAAAACGAGATAAGCCAAATAAGTATATTTCTTTCCATTATCGTTCTTGGATCGGAACACCAATATAACGGACTATCAAATCAATGCATTACAATCGCAACGCAGTGGCATGCATGGGAGTTTTTTTTGTCTGCAAGAAGGTGATTCTCCCTTCTTTATGGAAAAACAATTGTTGAGTTTGAGAGTTTTTACATTAATTTTCAACTGATAAACTGAAACCTTAGTGCCACCATACCATCCTATGCAGTTTAAGTGCGTCTAAAGCAAATATAAATCGGACTTATGAAGTAAAATTTTAAGCCTGCGCACAAAAGAATCGAAATTTCTGAGTTCAAGTAGGAGCTGAAAAGAATGATGAAATAAATGGCGCAGATTTACTTCATAAGGTAAACTGATTATCAACAAATACTGTACAGTCCAACCTGTTTAAGCGGACATGTATTAAAGCGGTTACCTTCTATTAAGCGATCACCTACTATCTCGGAAATGGTTTCCTTTAATACAATCACTGTAAAACTGACCTTTCTTAAGCGGTCACCTCTGTTAAAGGGCCACTTTGACCGCAAGAGTACCTGCCATGTGCAGCAGATACACTGTGTATAGCGTTTAGCAGCCTGCGTACATGGCGGCTTTGTCGGGAGCACTACGAAGCAACAAAGCCGCAAAAACACGCGCGCTTCGAACCAGCGGCGAAGGCCCAATGTCCTCGCGGACTTGCGGTTTCTCTGCCCGCCCCCGCCTTAATTACCTTGCGTGCCCAACCAAAACCGTCATGCTACGCAGGCGAAGCGTTTAGTGGTCTTCTACATTTTTTCGTTTGGTACAATCAGGGGTAGAAACAGTTTGAGGCCAATTTGTGGCAGGATAGATATTTCGTTCAGTTCACAACCTTCATTTCTTGAATAACTCTATGTTTGTCAAATCTGTATTAAACGGTGAACTTGTATTAAGCGGTGGTTTGACTGTGAAAGGCTAGATAGAGTCAAAATTTAATTCCTGTTCAGTAAATGGTTAACCAGTGATGATCATGAGAGTAATAAGCCCTTTTTTCAGTTATTCGAATTCCATCCAAGTTAACGCGCACTAAATATAAAGATCGAGGTCATGACATTCAATTTGTACGGAAAACTTCACCCAATGCAAATTACTGTATTTTGTCCAACTAAGCCCGGCTCAAGTTGGCGCCTGTAATTAAGGGAATGTGATGTGGGAAAGTTTTTATAATGATGTTGTTGAACCGTATTGACTGATATGGTAGTAAGAGAAACCCTAAAAACTCGACTGATGATACTGAGGAACCAAACCACGGATTGGCCAGGACGCTACTACTGATCTGTGACTAGCCAACTCTCTCAAGCAGAATCAAAGCAGAAACTCACTACCAAAATGTTGACAGGGACAGCACAATAGTGTAAGCAGGAAGAGGGCTACATTCATTCCCTCTCACCCCTACCCTTTAAGCTATGTCAACGTCCTTTTGTCTGCAAGTAAAAAATCGCCTCCCCGCCCCCCACTCCGTCTAACACACACACACGCAATGGAAAAAGTGAGAAGTCTTATCATTTCAAGTTCATGCAATTTAGTTTTGTATACCATATATTTTTTTTTCACTAGGCGGATAACTCTCTTTCACGGCACTAATTAACCAGTGGTGCATCTAGCGTAACTCGAATTTGCGATGCGAACTAGTGAAAGACACGAATACTTAGTTCATTTTTGCAGTTAAAGAGCCAAGTATTTAAATGACAAATTTACTCGATGAACCAAACTGAATCGGTCTAAAACGGAATAAAGCCGGGTCGGTAATCATCTATACAATAATTTTATAAAAAGTTTAATAAGTTATGATAGAGGGTCTCAATGGGGTGGTGGTATTTACGGTTATCGGCTAAAATTTTGGCTCTTTTACGGCTATCGGCTAATTTTTTTCAGTTACGGTTAACAAAAAAGTTAAAAATTAACTTCTTTTGTTTCAAAAAGTTAAATATTTATTAAC